TGCCAATAATCCTGTACTGCAGAGTTAAAATAAGGAAAGATATTTGAGCATGTATGTAAGAATATGCTACACAGCAATAAGTGTAAGATATAGTAGACAAAGACTGGGAGACATCTGTCTGAATAGGGAGGAGAAGTTTACAGGGTGAAAAAAGCTGATGCTTCAGTGCAGCTAACCTTCATTCCTATCTGGGAAAAAGCTGGCTTCACTGTTAGTTCTTCAGTAAAGTTGCTTGCGGCACAAATTCATGTGTACTTTGGAAATCCCAGTTCACAAACGTTTTCATAAGGTTTAGGGCTGACAAGGGGAGCATCTCAGGGCTTCTACTTTGCCTTCAGTGTTGTTGACATAGGAGTGGTCCTCAAAAGCTAAAAAGGTATTGCCCTTACCCTGTTTTTTTCACATACAAGTTGCCAGAAGTTATGCAAGCCACCTGTCTTTTTCCCTTCAGTTTGATAAAGTGAGAAAACTCATTCCTGTTGTCCTATCTGTGATAAACCTGCATAAAGTTTGTTCAACTGGTTTGAAAAATACAAAACAATAAAAACAATAATATCTGTGTCAATCTTTGGTGGAATTTTTGGTAAGTGATCTATTTCTCAGATTACAAATTAAATAGCACAGGCTAATATGGCTAGGATTCAACATTAGATATGTTATAACCTCCCAAAAGAAAACAAAAAGTCTATACATATAAAAGAAAATGTATATGTTTTGTAAGAGAAAAAGAAGAAAAGAGCACAGAAAGTTAAAAATTAAAAAAAAAGAATATTTAGATAGTGAGAAGTGATATCAGTAAAATGGCAAAATAGGAATTTCCAGTGCCAGTTGGCCCCCCAGGTCAGACTCTGTAGCCCCAAGACCCATGCCAGTACCCAAGGACCTAGCCTCCAGACCAGTACATACAAGCTGGGCCCCACAAACCCAGACTCCAGACCAGCCTCCAAGGCAGTAAGTTCTGCTCTAGCACCAGGTCAGGTTGGTCCCCCCCCACTGCTCGAGGCTCCAGTGGACCTAAAGTCCAGGTCCACACCAGTAGATATCACCTCATACCTGACACCAGTTAGAATGTCTATTATGAAAAAAGACAAAGGATAACAGGTGTTGAGAAGAATATGGAGAAAAGGGAATCCTTATACACTGGTTTTGGAAATGTACATTAGGACTGCCATGATGGAAAACACTGTGAAGGTTCCTAAATAAGTTAAAAATATTACCAAACAGGGTGGCTTACAACTGTAATCCCAGCACTTTGGGAGGCCGAGGCAGGCAGATTACCTGAGGTCAGGAGTTTGAGACCAGCCTGGCCAACATGGTGAAACCCCATCTCTACTAAAAATACAAAAATCAGCCGGGCAAGGTGGCACACACCTGTAGTTCCAGCTACTCGGAAGGCTGAGGCAAGAGTGTCACTTGAGCCCGGGAGGCAGAATTTGCAGTGAGCAAAGATTCCACCACTGCACTCCAGCCTGGGTGACAGAGTGAGACTCTGTCTCAAAAAATAAAATTAAATTAAATATATAAATTAAAAATAAATAAAAATAGAACTACCATATGATCCATTTGTATACGTTCTAGGTATATATCCAAAAGAATTAAATCATTATGTTGAAGAGCTGTCTGCACACCCATTTTTATGACAGCAAATTCATAATAGCCAAGGTATTAAATCAATCAATGAATGAGTGAATAAAGAAAGTGTAGTATATATAAAATAGAATACTATTCTGCCTGAAAACAAGAAGCAACTCTTAATATTTTCAACAACATGGCAAACCTGAAGACATTTTGCTAAGTAAAAGGGCACAGAAAAATAAATACTGCATGATCTCACATGTGAAATCAACATAAAGTGAATTCATAGAAGCACAGAGTAGTCTAATGATATTTGTCAGGGGTTAGGAGTAGAGAGAAGTAGGGAAAATGGGGAGATGTTGGTCAAAGAGTACAAAGTTTCAGTTGGAAGGAACAAATTCAAGAGATCTAGTCTACAATATGATGACTATAGTTAATAGTACTGTAATGCACACTTGAAAATTGCTAAGATAACAGGTCCTAAATGTTCTCACCACAAAACAAGCAAGTATGTGAGTCAATGATCTGTTAATCAGCTTAAATAATAATTGCATAATTATGCATATGTCAAAATATTATACTGTATATCATAAATAAGTACAATTTTTTGACTTATCCTTAATAAAAATGGGGGGTGATTTTAGTAGGTGAGAAACTAGGATGCTACAGGAAGTGTTCCAAATCATAAAATTTCCATAGTAGAAATTTCCATAGTAGAAAATTTCCCCCAGACAACCGGTCTTGCTCCCGACCTTTTGCAGAATCTTCTCACTCCTCCCGAGCTCCCTTCCTTGCGCCCGTCCCGGCAAGGGACGCGTCATGCCCAGCCCCAGGCCGCGAGGCAGCCCGCCGCCCGCTCCCTCGGGCGCTCGGGTCCGGTCTCCGCGCTCGGGCCGCCCTCCGGCGCCTAGATTCCCCACCGGCCCGAACACGCCCCGCGCTCCCAGACGCTTCGAGTCCCCCTTCTCTGTCGAGGCCATCCTGGCGAGGCCCGACCCCTGCACGCCGGCGGCCTCCCAGCCGTCGGGCTCCGCCTGCGCCCACCCGGCCTTCTGGACCGCTCCTTTCCGGTGCGCCGCCCCGGGCCTGCCCTGGGCGTGCCCGGCATCGTGGTTGCCCGCCTACCTGAGCGTGGGTCTCTACCCTGTGCCAGGGCCGCGCATGGCTCCCGTCTGCGGCCTGCGGGGCTTCGGCGTCACAGGGTTGGAGCTGGCTCATTGCTCAGGACTCTGGGCCTTCCCAGACTGGGCCCCAACGGAGGACCTAAGGGACACTGAGAGACAGCAAGAGAGAGTCCGAACTATGTTTAACTTGGAGCAGCTGCAAGAATTGGAGAAAGTGTTTGCAAAACAGCACAATCTGGTGGGGAAGAAGAGAGCCCAGCTGGCAGCTCGGCTCAGACTTATAGAGAACCAGGTGAGAGTCTGGTTCCAGAACCGCAGGGTCAAGTATCAGAAGCAGCAAAAGCTGAGGGCAGCGGTTACATCTGCCGAGGCTGCCTCCCTGGATGAGCCTTCCAGCAGCTCCAACGCCAGTATCCAAAGTGATGATGCCGAGTCAGGAGTAGACGGCTGAGGACTGGGACAGAGGCCCTAGCCAGGCTGCCTGGGCTAGTTCCTCCTGGGGGTACCCACTGGAGCTCCCTGCCTCACACTTCAACAAAAAGCCTCCTCAACCAGAGGAATCTGAGCTGTCAAGCAGGGACCCCCTTTTCTATACTGATTTCTGGAAACTGGAATAATGTAATAATTGGAGGCACAGATTCTCGCCTTCAACTATGTCCTTGGCCAACCTATGGAACTTCCGAGCCTTTTTTCTTTATATGTATAATGGGTGCATTCATAACTTAGACCACCCAGGGGTGAGAAGATGTCTGTAAAGCAATAATGTGCCAGGCACAGTGAAAAAAAAAAAGAAAGAAAATTTCCATAGTAGAGTTCAAAGGGCTAAGCTATGTTCTTTAAGTTTTTAAAAATGTGTTTTAATGTGATGTTTTACCCTATGTGGTCCCAATTGTTTGCTAAAAGTTATTTTACATACACGATTCTTGGTTCTTCATTTCTTGGGTAAGCTTAAGGACAAGGGCACATGCCTCATATTTTTCATGCCTCTTTAGAAATAAAGGAAGAGTCACAGATGCAGAAGGAAGATAAAGTCAGCAGAATCAATGCAATTGCAAGTCACACTAGAAATTGGAGGGAAGTTCCGAGATGCGTTTTTATTTTTATAATTTAGGAAACCGTGTGTGAATCAATCATATCTAAATTTCACAGGCCTCAAAAGCTACAGCTGACATTTGAGTTATAGAGAAAACTCAGGGATTGCAAGTATGTTACTTTATAGTGAATTCTCCTTTAGTCATTTTTCCACTTCAATTGACTATGACTGTCAGTTTAAATTGCTCTAGGTATAGCACTATTATTTCAGATGAAGATGGTTGACAATAATATATAGAACAAAATAACAACTTCTATGAAATATATTTATTCATTTGAAACACATATATTGGCATACATAATATACTTATTAACCATAAATATTCAAATTAGATCAAGCTTTAAAGTAAAAGTAAACTATCATTTTTCCATATGACAGCTTGTATCATAAAATTTTTCCAATATATTTTCACATAATTCATTCATACGCCCATTTGCTTCAAGACATTTTCAGAGCCTAGCGCTCTATTTGCCTCAAATGTTCTCCATAGTTCCTTAGGTTATGCAGTTGCTCCAAGCATTTACCTCACCTAAGTGTACCAAACCTATGATGACCGTTTCTTTATAAGCTACATAGCTCTGCTTTACCAGCTCCTTTTACTTCCTGTATACTTCTCACTGCCTTGCAAAAAAGAGGGATCTCAGATGCTGACTTCTGCTACACTGCTTCAAAGACTCTCTTGCTACAATTCATAAAACTTATCGTCCTACTATTGATATTGGCTATGAAAGAATATGGACCAAAATTCCTCTCAAAATTTACTATCCAACAAAGAAAAAGCAATGTTGGAGAAAAGGATTTGAAGTATTTTGCTGTGTATTTAACTAAACTAAAGATAGAAGACAAAAGTATTCTGCCCAAAAAGCAAGAAATTAAAAGACATGTTGTAGAGATTTTAAAATTGAGAGTATCATCTTTTCATAGGAATTATAACTTCACTTTTATCAAGATTTACAACAAATTTCATGCCTTATTTTCAATCAAGAAAAGTCTGTCTTGGATTCATTAGGTTTGTGCCATGAAAAAACATCGCTATAGATGTTTTATCTTGATTTTACATAGCTGTTTTCTCCACAAGTGAATGGTATTTAGGCTGACTGTGTTTTATTCATACCTGTCACCAGGAACTCCAGGACCTTGTTAGAGTACATGCTCAGCAAGTGCTAACAGAGTGAGTGAATAAAAGAATCGTTGATAAATAAATAGAAGGATGAATCATTGTGAGGGGAGACTCCATTATATTGTGAATATGACATGTACACAGGCTCACTCCCACCCCATTAGTCTCTTCACTGCCCCTCTTACATCTTTGTTTCTGAGGGTGTAGATTAGAGGGTTAAGACTAGGTGTGACAACAGTATAAAAGAGAGCAATGAACTTGCCTTGATCTTGAGAATTTTCTGATGGTGGCTGGAGATATATGCACATGGCCGGAATGAAAAAGAGAGATACAACCATAAGGTGGGCTCCACATGTTCCAAACACTCTCTGAAGCCCAGTGGTTGATTGCATCCTCAGTACAGCCTGGACGATGGCACCATAAGAAGTGAGAATGAGGATGAGAGGTATGAGAACAAAAACGGAGCTTGTGATCATGAGGGTCAGCTCATTGACATGGGTATCAACACACGATAATCGCAGAAGTGCTGGAACTTCACAGAAAAAGTGATCTACTTGGTGGTGTCCACACAGGGGTATCCAGAAGGTGAAGGAGGAATGAAGTGCTGAGTTGGTAAAACCGCTTACCCAAGAAGCCACAGCCAGCAGGTGGCAGAAACGAGGATGCATGAGGACAGTGTAATGCAAAGGTCTACACACAGCTGCGTAACGGTCATAGGACATCACCACCAGTAGGACACACTCTGTGGTTCCCAGTGCAAGAACAAAGTAAAGTTGAATCATGCAACCAGCATAAGAGATGGTTTTTTCCGGGCCCCAGAGATTAACCAGCAACTGAGGGATAGAGCTGGTGGTGTAGCAGAGATCCAGAAATGAGAGGTTTAAAAGGAAAAAGTACATGGGAGTATGGAGATGGGAGTCCAGGTATGACAGGATGATGATGAACAGATTTCCTATCAGTGTCATCAAGTAGAAGATCAAGACAACCACGAAGAGAACTACTTCTAGATGAGGCCAGTTAGAAAATCCAACTAAAATAAAGTACCCCTCAGAGCTAGCATTGACTTTTCCATCATCATTCATTTCCTATTACCTGAGAGAGAAAAAAAAAGTCAGGTAAACTCAAAAAAGAGTAATCAAGTGATCCAAAAACATCAGCACACTTGAATAAAAAATAAAAGCCAGTTTGAAGGGCTTGCCATCATTTAATTGTAGGACAATTTAACCATTAGTAGTAATGAATTTAACAAAAGAAGAATTATAAAGCTCATACTGATATAAAAACTAAAAGAATAAATACATGAAGGGTGAAGATAAAGCTATTCCGTACAGTAGATCCCTAATTAACAAATATAGAAGGGGTGATGGTCTTAAGAAAAACATAAATGATTGCAAAAACTAGTGGATAAAAATTTGATGGGGAGCAGGATATGTACAAATCTAAAATAGTCTAAAATATCTCCTCACGAATTTCTTATTAATTTCAAACTGAAAAACAGTGAAGTTTATAGTAGAAAAACCTGGCAGACACCACCATAACCAAGTGGTTTTATTGATCTTAAGATCGCCTGTATTTGCACAACCAACATCATGAGCCTGCTGTGATGATGCTCTGAACAGGACATGATGTCTCCTTCAGTGATATTTGTGTTAAACATTCTAATAATGCAGACTAATTCTAATAATGAAGACACATGAGAAAAACTCAAATTGAGAGAAATAACTTGCCTATACAATTCAGAACTATCAAGCTTAAGTAGAAAAACAAAGGGTGAGGAACTGGTCCAGATGAAAGGAGACTAGAGAGACGTGATTTCTCAGTGTACAATCCTGCATTTTTTCAAAAACTAGCTATTAACAAAATTATTGAGACGATTTAAGAAATCTCAGTTTGGACTTGATTTGGGTACTGTGCTGGACTTATGTAAAGTAACATCCTTTTTCTTAGACAAAAAAAAAAACACTGAATAAAGTATTTGGTGTAAAGGAATGTGTTATCTCCAACTTACTCTCAACTAGTCCAGAAAAAGAGATGATAGATAGATAGATAGATAGATAGATAGATAGATAGATAGATGATGTAACAAAGCTTTGGGGGGAAATGTAAACTAATACTCAATCTGGTTAAAGGGTAAATGTTAGTCTTTTATACTACTTTTTTGCAACTCTTCTCTAAGTTTGAAATTTTACATAATAAAAAAATACAAAATAATTTTTTAATTTTATATTTTATTCAGATGTTTGCCTTATTATAGAAAAATAACTATCAAGTTCTTCTCATTCATTTTAGGGTGACATCTAGGTAAACGGTAATTGAAAGAAATTCCTATACTAGCTAAGGAAGATAATTTCCATAAAACACAAAATCTTTCTTTGTTAATAAACAAGGAACTTTAGTTTTCTTTTCAGCATTTTCAGGTTATTTTCTTAAGTGTGATTGTGGAAAACGTAATCATTGTAACCCCAATAATCTTACACAGGGATGGAAAGATATGTTGAAAATATTGAATTTAGTAGTTATTTCAAAATGTTCACCTAAACAAAAAATGTTTAGCTTCAATTAGATAAGAACCTGATCTTCTGATTTGTTTACTTGGACTCAAAATGTATTTCTAAACTGAAAAATTGAATGCAAATAGAGAAGACACAGACACTTGCTCATCAATGTATGGGTATTCATTGTATGAACTCAGCTAAAACTCTGGGGAGAACAGTGATAGAATACTTTCTAAAGGATGTGTGACTATAACTGAATTTGGAAAGATTCAAACTTTAGGGAAAGGAAGATAAAAATTCAGTGAGAAAACAGAAAAGGAAGGAAAGGTGGGAGGGAGGGGCAGGAAAATGGAGAAGAGCCTGAGTGAAGGTCTTAGAGTTGCAGGTGTGTCTGTCACAGGGTTCACAAAGCTGAACCACACGGCCTGAAGCAGCTTTCTACATGATGTATTTTTCTCTAGGACAATAATTTAGATAGTATATAAATTCTGAGCATGAGCTATAATTAGTACATATTTATTCTCCAATTTAGAGAGTTCTGAATATTTAGTGAATCATTAAGTGGCTGTTCATCATTTAATACACTGCGCCCAGTGAATCTCACGTTACTTTTTTTGTTAAAAATAAAATAATATCTTACAAATAGTTATGACTCCTAGGTGATGCTTTTTCTCCAGTGAGTTTTCAGTCTTTCACAAAAAAAAAAAATAATACTTACTTTTGTTATATAGTTATTGTGTCAGGCATAGTAACCCACTATTTATCCCTTTTTCTCTGAATTCTTCGCTTCTTCCAGCTTTGCTACATGCCCTTATTTCATTACTCCCACAGTCAGTTATTTTTCTTATACCTCCCAATTGGCTATGGCACAGGAAGAAAGAAATCGTTGTGGAGCCACCTGTGATTGCCTCTTTTGGGGGTCTCTTAATCGCTCCTGTTTTATAAATGCAACTCCTGAAAAAGATGTCAAGAGTAGCGAATTGGTTGAGTTTCAGCAGAAAAGTTTGGAACATTCAGTTTGGTCCCAAGATTAAAAGATTGACTTCAGACCCTATTAATAGACTTGGTAATGTAAATAATCATTAGCCAGTTGTTACACTCATCTAGATTACTTTCAACTACTTAGAAACCATCCAGGAAAATCAGTCTGCACATTGTTTTAAAAGAAAATTTTAAAAACTACAGCTGAATCAAAAAATAGCAATAGTCAAAGAGTAAATCGTGAAGATTACTTCACTTAAAGGTCATAGCCCTAGAGGGAAGATGAAAATTTTCCAAGAGATTTTCAAAAATTTCTCTAGAATAGGAGATAATACATCATGATAAATATGAACACAAATGTTATAGTTACTTCCTCTCATGCAGATATAATTTTCTTTTTTCTTATAGTTGCCTCGATAATTTAGTACATTAACTAAAACAAGAGGCAGCTGTGAGATATCTTTGCCAATTGCATGACCCATCCTTCAGCAGTCTTACATAGGGAGGTTAGAATGAGATATGAGATAAAAAAGAAAAAAAATTACCAGATGCAAGTAAGGAAAAGGTAGGAATTTTTCTGGGTTAATTTTCTTCTTACTGGTGGGGCAGAAAATAAAAGCCTTATCAAAAATTAAAAGCCTTATCAAAAATTTAAGTTATCCTTAACACAAAGAAAGGATAAATGCTTGAGGTGATGTATACTCCATTTAGTCTGCTGTGATTATTACACATTGTATGCCTGTGTCAAAAATTCCTGGGTCCGGCACTGTGGCTCACGCCTGTAATCCCAACACTTTGGGAGACCAAGGAGGGTGGATCTCTGGAGCCCAGAAGTCCGAGACTAGCCTGGGCAATGAAGTGAAACCCTGTCTCTACAAAAAATAAAAAGGAAGAAATTATCAAAAAAAAATTCTCATGTACCCCATGAATACATATGCCTAATGTGTACCCACAAAAATTAAAAGTTAAAAGTTGTTTTCATGGACTAGGAATAAATGATCCTCTCTAGTTTTGGAAATCAGGTATAATGGAGGGAGAAAATGACATCTTTTCCCCCTCCCCATGTCACTGGCCAAGTTTTTTTATTCTTATAATATTTCTTTATACTCTTACCTAGTACTTAAGCAGTACTCAAACAATGCCTTTCACTCTGTCCTTCCTGTGTCTGTCCACATTCCTTGTATATTGTCTTCCCAACTGTTTCCCTCATCATGCACAGACTGATCTGATCTCTGATTGTTATCAGCTTGAAATCACCAACATAAATGCCTACACTTCCCTCATCTACTACATCATTTAGGAAAACAGTCTGAATGTAACTATGACTATCATTACTATAGAAGAGAAAGCTCTGAGTCTACTAAAAAATTTAGTTTTACCCAAAAGATAAACTTATGAGAGCTTTCAGTGTATCAAGGGATGGGCCTTTATCTCAGAGTCCAATGGGCCCTTTTTGGAAACAAAAGAATGTGACTTGTTTTCCTTGACTGGGGCTACTGGGAGGGTAAATCCCAAAGCGGCAATTAATGCCCTTCAAGGAGTTGTCCTGGTTAGAACAGTTTCTCAGTGATACTCTTGGCATGATGCCACATTGTTGTACTAAGATGACAAGGAATCTATAGTCCAACTATCACTGAGAAAAACGCTTTGAGCTGTATTTACAGGGAAAGGAATGGGTTATCTTGAGTTACCTGAAACTTCTTCCCCAATTCTTCAGTATGGTAGGGGCCAAATTTGAGATGTAGCTTGTCAGGTAGTCTAATTTGGGAATGGGAAAAGGCATGAAACATTTTTAAAAAAGAAATATAAAGACTACATTATACATATTTGTTTTATTAATTTGAATTCTTTAATTGTGTCTAACATCTCTAAAATTCAAGGCCAAGTTCAGCCCTGCAAAGGTGTTAAAAATTACCTTTGAAGACCATTCAAACTATACTCAGAAGGTCACTACCAAACTCAGAAAACTTTTAACAAAATTATTTAATATTTCCAAAATATTGTTATCAAAAATTTCTTTTGATGTCTTGTTAAAAGCTTTGCTGAAATATATTAAAAAGTTAAATTAGCTGTGATAGCTATCTCCATCCCGTGTTTAAAAAAAAAAAAAAGCACATCATGAGTTTATAAATTAATGAAGATTTTTCAATTGTTACATTGCATCTAGGTGATACCATGTGTACCAAACAAAGTCTCGGTATGAAAATCAAGTCACATTTACAATACAATTATGTTTTAAAGTCAGTAATTTTAAGAGCATGATCAGGTATTTTCCTGTCCACTTATGTGAAGCAACTGAAATGGTCTTGGCTTCAGTAGTGTTGATTGCTGCAAAAACTCAATATGAAAAATATGTAAACATTATCCTCTATGCCTAGTGCATAGTCATTCAATACATGCTAGCTGCTATTACCATTAGAGTGAATTTTAACTTGAACTGATATTTTAACAAGGCATTCTACATTATTTCTTCATCCTTTATTTTAGATATCTAAAATATTAAAAATAAACATCTATATTCCCATCATTCAGAATCATCAACCATAAATTTTGCCATTTTTATTTTCAGCATTTTGAGCACATAAAGTGTCACAGATAAAGTTCATATCCCCTTTAACTGTCACTCTCTGACACAACACTAAATCCAGAGACAATTACCATGAGCTTGGTATATATCACTCCAGTTTAC